ACAATGCGGCTGGTGGAGGTAACTCGAAGGATGGCAAATCTGGATGCTCCTACTGTGCTACTCGAAGGTACAGAGGGGCGAATAAGCACGACGACGCGCGCTGCTGGAAGAACCCTGCGAACGCTCACTTGGTTCCGGACTGGTATCGTCAGCGCCAAGCTGAAGCTGCAGCAGCCAAGGCATCGAAAGGGCAAGGGGACGGGCAAGAGACCGTCCTAAAGGCCGTCCAATCGACGTTCATGGCACGCTCCGTTGACTCTGCTCATGAAGGCCTACGCGTCATCAAGGCTTCTGCTACCGGTTCATCCGGCCGAATTCTACCAGTAGAACTGCTGGTCGACTCTGGTTCGGATCTGACATTAATATCATCCTCGTCGGCGAGCATTATGGGCTTCAAAGTGACACCAGCTAGGGGGCTCAAAAAGCTCGAATCGGCTGGGTCGCTAGGCTCCATCTGCGTGATAGGACAGGCTCGGGTTCCGATAGTTGTCAAGGATAAGGCAGGCCATGACCTCTCCTTTAACTTGCAGCTCAATGTTGCCGACGGGCTCAATATGAAACTGGGCAGGTCCACTATAATTTTGGGGATGGAGACCCTCAAGCGTTTGGAGGCCACCTTGCATACTACGGATGATACACTCTATTGCGGAGCACTGGGTTCAACTTGGTCCTTGTCACCTTATAGCGGCGGGAGCATCTCCAGCGTTCTCACCGATACACGGCTCAAGTTGCCCACTAGGAGTAAGGTGGACGAACGCCTTAAGGGATGGTCGTTCCCCAAGGTCACTGTCCAGCTAAAACCTGGTGCTGTGCGACCCTGTCCCAAGCGGCCATATGTGTGTCGTAAGCGCGAGATGCAGGCCATGGAGCTCATGGTCAAGAACCTCGAGAAGAGCGGGATCATCACTCGCCTATCACGCGCGGCGGTCGATCATCGTCAAGTCTGGATCTCTCCTGCGTTTGCGGTACCGAAAGCGGCCGCAGACGACGTTGCCGAGCCCTTGACTGAGGATAATGTAGATCGTGCTTATCGTCTCGTCGTTGATG